TTCTGTAGATGCTATAGAGGCGGTGAAGAAAGTCTTCTTCGCCGTTGCTATCGCCACTTGGTAGGCTCGACATTGAGCTCTAACCTGTGTCCGGTCCAATTCAGAATGAGTTTTCTGCCACTGGCACTCTAGCCGTCTCAGCGATTGTTTCCTCACCCGCAGCTCCAAAGAAAACCACGGGGCTGTCCGGGCTCCATGCAGTCGGAGAGGGCGCTTCGGAGCCAGACAGTCGATAGCCCTGGTCAACTCCACATTCCAGCGGGCCACCAGGGAATCAGCTGAAAGGCCATCAACATGGGATAAAGCATGCCCTACCACTCTCTGGAAACCATTTGGATTCATTAAGTGGCGGGGGCGGACCATCCGCATTGGTCCCACCTCCCTGCAGAGGAGAAGGGTCACGGAGAAGTCCAGTTGCACCAGGAAGTGATCTGACCATGGCACTTCTTTTGTTTCACTTTTACCTAGTGTCATATCACCCATGTCACTATTGGTGAACACTAGGTCTAAGGCATGTCCGTGACTATGAGTTGGGCCAAACTTATTCAGGGACAGCCCCATGGAGGCCATGCTTTCCACGAAGTCCCAAGCAGCCCCTTGTAAGGTCATGTTGGCATGGATGTTAAAATCCCCTAGGACAACCAAACTAGGTATCTCCAGGAGAACATCCGCGATGACCTGAAGCAGCTCGGGCAGGGAATCCTTGGTGCAGCGGGGAGGTCAGTACACCAAAAGGAATCCTGTACTGCCCCTATTGCCCAGCTTCCAGAACATGCACTCAGAGAACTGGGTCTTTCATATGCGCAGAAGCGCCAAATTGCACCAGTGCCTGTGCAGACGTGGCGCTTCAGGATGCGAATGCTGTGGGTTGCGGACGTGCCTCAGTCACGGGTTATGTCTGCAACCCGAGGTTCCACTGTACCAATTTTGTTTTAGGGCTTAATTTGCAGTAAATTTTATTCCTTTATTCATAATTGTTCTCACTGTTCTACTGTGAACTGCTCTTAAAATTTTTGCATCCATTTTGTCATATAAGGTTTTGCTTGTTCGGGCTTGGTGTCATATTTGAGTAATAGTTTATAAATTTTACCCAGAAGGTAGAACTCTGTTATGATGGACTCAGATTCTATCTTTTCACTGATTTAAATGTTTGCCATACAGTCTTTCTTGAATCTGGATATTAGTTGACAGTATGTAAGCAGTTTCATATTTTTTCTCCTCTTTAATACTTTGGCATGTATTTGATCTGTTCTTGAAGATGAACCATATCTTGGTACAATATATACCGTATTTTTCACTCTATAGGACGCACCGGACCATAGGACGCACCGAACCATAGGAGGGGGAGAACAAGGAGAAAAAAATTCTCCCCTCTCCGCTCAGCGCCCCTTCAGTGAAGCGGGATGAGAAACGGAGCCCCTTCCATTTCTCCTCCAGCTTCACTGAAGGGGCGCTGCGCAGAGAGGAAACATTGTGCAGTGCCTCTCCAGCGAAGCAAAGCCTGGAGAGCAAGAGGGATCGGTGTGCACCGACCCCTATCGTTCTCCAGGCTTCAGGCGGCTTACCGCAAGCCTTCGGAGATCAGCAGCAACTTGCGCTGTGCTCCAAAGGCTTCAGGCGGCTATCCCTGAAGCCTCGACAGCGAGAGGGGTCGGTGCACACCGACCCCTCTCGCTCTCCAGGCTTCAGCGAAAGCAACGCGTAGCCTCTGGAGCGTGGAGGGAGCGCTCCCTCTGCGCTTCGGAGGCTTCGTGTTGCTATCACTGAAGCCAAGGAGCCTGCATTCGCTCCATAGGACGCACACACATTTCCCTTAATTTTTGGAGGGTAAAAAGTGTGTCCTATAGAGCGAAAAATACGGTAGTCATATATTCTCCTATCGGCTCTAATAATAATATTGCAGTGGTGACATTAACAGTGCAGGTAAGGGGATTTTTGTGATTTTTGTAGTGCAACTCATGATTTGTGAGTTGTGCCCGTGGCTATGATGTGTGATTTGATGGTGAGTTTGGGGAGCCCCAATGCGAAAAGAGTGAGGATCCTTGAGGATCCGTGCTTCAAAACTACCTTTTTGGGCCATGGCGTTGCCAGGAAGCCGTGGATCCATAATTTTTATGGTGCAGGCTCTGCTCCTGGCTATGACGTGTGATTTGAAGTGAGTTTGGGTTGGCCCAATTCAAAAAGCGTGAGGATCCATGAGGATCTGTGCTCCAAAACCACGTTTTTGGGCCTTGGAGTGGCCAGGAAGCCGTGGATCTGAGATTTTTGTGGTGTAAACTGTGCCCCTGGGAAAGATGTGTGATTTGATGGTGAGTTTCGGGTTGGCCCAATTCAAAAAGCGTGAGGATCCATGAGGATCTGTGCTTCCAAAACCACGTTTTTGGGCCATGGAGTGGCCAGGAAGCCGTGGATCCGAGTTTTTTGTGGTGCAGGCAGTGCCCCTGGACATGATGTGTGATTTGACAGTGAGTTTGGGTTGGCCCAATGCAAAAAGTGTGAGGATCCACGAGGATCCGTGCTTCGGAACCACGTTTTTGGGCCATGGAGTGGCCAGGAAGCCGTGGATCCGAGTTTTTTGTGGTGTAAGCTGTGCCACTGGACATGATGTGTGATTTGACAGTGAGTTTGGGTTGGCCCAATGCAAAAAGCGTGAGGATCCATGAGGATCCGTGCTTTAAAACTACCTTTTTGGGCCATGGTGTGGCCAGGAAGCCGTGGATCCGAGTTTTTTGTGGTGCAGGCTGTGCCCCTGGGAATGATGTGTGATTTGATGGTGAGTTTGGGGTGGCCCAATGCAAAAAGCGTGAGGATCCATGAGGATCCGTGCTTCAAAACCACGTTTTTGGGCCATGGAGTGGCCAGGAAGCCGTGGATCCGAGTTTTTTGTGGTGCAGGCTGTGCCCCTGGACATGATGTGTGATTTGACGGTGAGTTTGGGGTGGCCCAACGCAAAAAGCGTGAGGATCCATGAGGATCCGTGCTTCGGAACCACATTTTTGGGCCATGGAGTGGCCAGGAAGCTGTGGATCCGAGTTTTTTGTGGTGCAGGCTGTGCCCCTGGGAATGATGTGTGATTTGACGGTGAGTTTGGGCTGATCTAGTGCATAAAGCGTGAGGATCCATGAGGATCCGTGCTTCGGAACCACGTTTTTGGGCCTTGGAGTGGCCAGGAAGCCGTGGATCCGAGTTTTCTGTGGTGCAGGCTGTGCCTCTGGACATGATGTGTGATTTGACGGTGAGTTTGGGGTGGCCCGATGCAAAAAGCGTGAGGATCCATGAGGATCCGTGCTTCAAAACCACGTTTTTGGGCCACGGTATGGTCAGGAAGACGTGGATCCGTGATTTTTGTGGTGCAGGCTGTGCCCCTGGACATGATGTGTGATTTGACGGTGAGTTTCGGGTGGCCCAATGCAAAAAGCGTGAGGATCCATGAGGATCTGTGGTTCGGAACCAAGTTTTTGGGCCACGGTTTCGCCAGGAAGTCGTGGATCTGTGATTTTTGTGGTGGATGCTGTGCCCATGGCCATGATGTTTGATCTGATGGTGACTTTGGGCTGATCTAGTGCAAAAATCATGAGGATTCATGAGGATCCGTGCTTCGGAACCACGTTTTTGGGCCAGGGAGTGGCCAGGCAGGTGTGGATCCGAGTTTTTTGTGGTGTAGGCTGTGCCCCTTACTATGATATGTGATTTGACGGTGAGTTTGGGTTGGCCCGATAAAGAAAGCGTGTGGATCCATGAAGATCCGTTCTTGAAAACCACGTTTTTGGTCCACGGTTTCGCCAGGAAGCCATGGATCCGTGATTTTTGTGGTGGATGCTGTGCCCATGGCCATGATGTTTGATCTGATGGTGACTTTGGGTTGATCTAGTGCAAAAATCATGAGGATTCATGAGGATCTGTGCTTCGGAACCACGTTTTTGGGCCAGGGCGTGGCCAGGCAGGCGTGGATCTGAGTTTTTTGTGGTGTAGGCTGTGCCCCTGGCTATGATGTGTGATTTGAGGGTGAGTTTGGGTTGGTCCAATGCAAAAAGTGTGAGGATCCATGAGGATCTGTTCTTGAAAACCACGTTTTTGGGCCATGGTATGGCCAGGAAGCCATGGATCCGTGATTTCTCTGGTGGATGTTGTGCCCCTGGACATGATGTGTAATTTGAAAGTGAGTTTGGGCTGATCTAGTGCAAAAATCATGAGGATTCATGAGGATCCGTGTTTTTTAACCATGTTTTTGCGCCATTGCGGCACCACGAAACAGTGGATGCGTGATTTTTTTGGTTCCTCCTACAGACTAAGATGTGGTCTACAGTAGCATGGTGTTTTTATTTTGTTTCAATATAAAAATCATATGAATTCATGAGGATCCGTGCCTCGGATCCATGTTTTTGTGGTGCTGTAGCGCGGCAAAGTGTTGGATCCACGTTTTTTATAGTCCAGTTTGTAGGCGTGCCTTCCAGGTGTGATTTGACACTGCATTTGTTGGAATAATTTTTTAAAAAGTGGAGGATCCATGAGGATCCGTGTAGATCCGCCTTTTATGCAGACCCTGCATCTTTTAACTCGGGATCAATGAATCATTTCATTTGTATACTGCCTTTTTCCAAAGTTAAAACCATGCTCAAGGCAGCCTGCAACAGAGATATTTAAAAAAATCACATAATTACAAACATAACAAAACTAAAAGTAGTCATAAATTAAACATCAAAAGTACACAACCACATTGAGTATGATGTGTCTTTGAAAAGGCGCCAACACCCTTTTTATCGGAGCGTGGGCAGCTGAGTAAGAACCGCTGGCGCAGAAGAAGCAGCATCAGCGGCTGCGCTACGCTTCGCGATTTGATTCGGACCCCTCGGCTTTCCGTCGCTCTTTCCGGCTCACCTCGAGTATCCTAGAGATAGGAAAGTATAGAGCCGATTAACAGCTCTCTCTGTCGTTTTGCCGGAAGTCGAGCAAGGCGCTCTACCCGTTCGTGCATCTAGGGCGTCCGGAGTCTGCCACGCCCCCTTCTCCTTCCCCGAGCGGTTCAAGCGAGAGCGGGAGGGCAGAGTCGCTCTCACTCGAGAGGCGCGCGGGGTAGAGCGCGCAGCTACCATGTCCGGCTCCGGCAGCGACCGCGGCGACGCACCTCGTCGCTCCCGAAGCCAGCAGCTCGGCTCCCCCGACGGCGGCACTCCTCGACGCCGGGCGCGAGCGGGCGACGGGGATGGCGGCGGGCGAGGCAGCGAAGAAGAGGACGGGGCGGCCGGAGGAGCAGCGGGAGCGGAGGGCGCCTTGCCGGGGCCGTCGGGCGGCGACGGGGCGGACGAAGCGACGCGGCGGCTGCTCCGCCAACAGTACCGGGAGCTCATCTCCTCCGTGCAGCGTAGGTGCGGGGCGGGAGAGGGGAGGCGGGGGGGGGAGCTTCGCTGCAGGCACAGGGCTCCTCTAGTCCCCCGAGCCCCTCGTCGGTCCCCCCTCCGCGCCCTAGAGAAAGGTTGGCTGGCGTGACTGGTAGAGACTGGTAGAGAAGTGGGGTGGGGGGCTGCTGGTCTTGTGCCCACATAAGGGAAGGAGCCCATATGCCCTCTCCCCCCCCCCAAAAAAAATGGTCCAGCTCCCTCTTCTCACAACGGTCCGCCAGGAAGGTGTGGGAGAGTTGGCCCCTGCAGGGACCCGACCTCCCTCTTCGCACTTTCACTTTCTTCTTTCTGTTTCATAAGTTGGAATAGGAATACTGTACTCCCCGTCGGTCATGGGGAAAGTTGTTTTTTTGTGCTTCATTGATGCATGGCGTTTGTGTCGTGGCTCGCAACGGAAAGGGTGCAAAACGCAGCTCTTCCGTTGCTGCGGGTAGTACGGAGCAGAAACCGAAAGTGTTTGGAAAGTTTGCATATCCTCGAGTGTGCTCTGGAACGGAATACCCCACTTGGGACAAAATAGTGATATGTGAATCCCCCTGTTTCTTTTCAATCTCACGGCTTTTATAATTTATTTACAACCTTGCCTTATTTACTTTATTCATCAAATAGCATATTTTCTTTCAACCCCCTGGCAGCTTTTCTCATGCTCTTCTTTAGAAATTCTCATGAAACCCTAATCCTAAGTGTTATGGCCTCCCAAGATTATTTTAATGCCTGCGCTAGCAAGTATTGAGAGTGGTGCTTCTTCAGTTACCTGGTTTCCAACCTGCGTATGCTTGTTCTAAATGTAGGTGCTGTTAGATTGAAGATTCTAGAGCTGTTGCTGTGGTTAGAACATGCATAAAGTTAAACAAGCTGTAAGTCAAGAGGTACGATTTAGAGCTGTCGCTGACTTGCATTCATATTTACTTGAGGGGTATATTTTGGATTATGTGTTTTTATTTTGTTTTCCTTTAAAAGCACATTACTTATGCTTGATTTTTATTCTAGAGAATCGTGAAATGATGCTGAGCACCAGAAATGATAAACTCACAGAGGCTTTGGAAGATGCGAATAGACTATTTACAGGAGGTAAGATGGTGGTAGCTCACAATAGATACTTATATTTACTTCTCTCGCCTCCCCACCCACTTTACATTTGGAAATGGTGCTTGAAATAAAATAGTGCTTGAAATAAAAAGTAACCAATATTTTGTCTTGTGTCAAATAGAACTGAACTTAATTTTTATTTTTTTAAAATGAAGTCAACATCCTTAGAGGAGAGACAGCGTAAGCAATCTTTTCAAGGATGCTGGCTCTAGCTTTCTGCATTCCTTAGATAACAGCAGGAATAGGAGTGTGAAGGCCTGGGAAAAAGCAGGGGCAGAGGAGGGTAGCTGTTCTTTTCTGTTTTCAAGGCCTTTGAAGTTTCTCATTTCTCTGAAACATTATCTTTCTGGCTCTTTGGTTCTGTTCCTGTTGATAGAGTACGACTGATACACGTACAAATAATTGTACTCTAACTAGATGTCTTCAGCGGCTCCCTTCCTACTGACTTGGAAAACTGTAACCATTCTTGAACTGGAATGTTAGGTTGATTTAGGAACAATTACATGGTAGCTTCCATTGTCTAGCATCCTCTTGTTGCTTCATATATCAATGCCAATTTTATTTATATACCATCTTCTCATAGTTGGTGCGCAAGACAGTTTATATGAAAAATAACATACGAAACAGCTCATATGGTATTATCAGCACCACGCTCTATCCAAGGTTGCAGGTTCAAGAGCTGCATATTCCTGCATTGCAGGGGGTTGGACTAGATCAGGCTTCCCAAAACTCAGCCCTCCAGATGTTTTGGGACTACAACTCCCATCATCCCTAGCTAACAGGATCAGTGGTCAGGGATGATGGGAACTGTAGTCCCAAAACATCTGGAGGGCCGAGTTTGGGGGTGCCTGGACTAGATGATCCTTGGGGTCCTTTCCAACTCTACAGTTCTGTGATTCTATGAATATAAATACAAACATGAACAGCAAAAAACAATCCACAGAATCTCAAAGCAATGCAATAAATTCATAGCACAATAATATTCAGTATCCTATCAATATACAGAGGTACCTCTACTTATGGATGTGATCCGTTCCAGGGTGACGTTTGCACCCAGAAAAGTCTGTAAGTAGAGCATCGCTTCTGTGCTTGCATGTGATGCAATAGAGCGCTCCTGCACATGCGCAAAGCGCACAGAGTGCTCATGCGCAAAGCGCACAGTATACACTTCTGGGTTTTCCGCATTCGCAACCCGAAAATCCGCAACATGAACCTAACGCACCCAGAGGTATGACTGTACTGAAAAATGGGACTCCATCTAATAATTTATCAAAATATAACTACAATAAATCAGTGCATAACAGTGTGGTCCTAAACTAATTAGACCTTGGAAGCTGCAGCCCCCCCCCCCCCAGACCAAGTGACATTGGTCTAAGTGGGACAGTAGGTCTTTTAGGGTTTGCAACCAAATTATCTCTAGGCACCTTCAGCAGACTCTTTGCAGGTGGTCATTAAGAACCCACTCTTCCAAACCATCTTAGAAGCAGAAATGTATTTGATGCTCCCACAAGGAATTGCAATTTTCTGTTCTAGTAGATCTCATTGAATGCTGAAATCTTGGCCCCTTAGAAAAGTGGGTGGTAATTAAAATCAAATTGTTCTTATTTTTCAATTGCCTCTGACAGTAACAAAATGTATTTCTTTCATCACAGTGTCCCGGGCAAGGGAGGCTGCTTTGGATGCCCAGTTCCTAGTTTTGGCATCAAATCTAGGAAAGGAAAAGGCAAGCCAGTTGCACTCGGAGATGTCAGTGTTTGATCCATCGGAGTTTGCTGAAGATTTAGTAAGTTTGCAGTGATTAGTTTTGAAATAATATAAAGTTGCTATGTTTAAGAGTTATTAAATAGGAGTTGGTTCCATAAATCACCATCACCACTATTTTTTCCTGGTTACCTACTGCTCATTAGCAAAATTATTTCTAGTATAGATGTGAAAGCAAATAACAACTTTATTGTTGCAAGATAAGTACTTTGTTGAGCACTTATACAAAGGTCTCAAATATACAAAGGTCCCAAATCCTGTAGTATGAAATGCAAGATTCACATAGCTGGGTAGGACATACTCTGGGTTCAGAGGTAATGCAAAATCATGGGCTATTTTGCTAAACCATGGAGTTTTTAAGTTTGTGAACAAAGACTGTTCACAAGCTGTGGCTTGTTTGGGACCAACAGACTGGGTTCTGAAACTGGTTTGTAATACAATTTGTGCTCAGTTCAGTTTAGGGCCATTTATTTGTTCCAAGAGTATTTTACATGACCAAGAACTTGTGAAACTCAAGTTATGAACAGATGAGAGAAATAAGCAAACAAGCAGCTTAAAACCGTAGTGGACAGCTAGAAAGACAAACTGGTGTGTTCTTAACTATGGTTAACACAAACCATATCTGAACAGAGCCTCTGTGCTAAAGTCAAAATATAAATTAAAAAAATTCAGCAGCATACTTTTGGTTATGTGCAAAGAAAAGCTGACTTCTTAGTTATGCTTAAACTTCCTAAATTATGCATATTTTGCTTGTTTATTTAGTCAGTATTTTTAATTTCTTAGTTATGGAGAGGACCAAGAAACTATGCAGGGTACTAGAGCTCTTAAAAAAATTAGAAGCCAGAATGAGAACTGAATAAGAACACCAAGCATTGCCCACTAAGCTTCTGCTACAGGAATGAGAAACATGCTCCTTATTTTTAACATGACCTTTGGTTGGGGACAACTGAACTCTGCCCAATACCATATTCTTCAGTCTTGCCGCATTTGTGTGGAATCCTACAATTCTCACAGTATTGTCATGATCCAAGTTGCTTGCAGCAGTAAGTTAAAATCTGTGTTACATTTCTAAATTACATCAGGCAGGTACCAGCGCTGTCACCATATGTTACTAGGTACCCTTTGTGGTTCAGTAGAGCCAAATAAGGTTATATGTGCCATGTTGCCAGGGTATGTAGAAAGGATAAGGGTCTCCCTTGTCTTCACTAAGCTGATCACATCTGCAGACAGGAAACTGGTGGGAGCAGTTCCTGGTAGGGAAAAGAACCAGAAAGGGCTCTGCCTCTGTTGACTTGGAGTAACAGATTGTAATATCTGGGACAGTGCAAATGGTTCACAACATGCTGCAGGTCCAGTGTGTGGCTGGAATTGAATAGCCCTCAGTTTTAAAAATAAAACATTGATTTTTTTGTTTAAAGTTTAAGACTGTAAGGTAATGTTGGAGCTGGAACTTAACGGGTTAAGCTTTTCCCAGGATGCTACACCATTCTGACGTCACTTTTGGAAGCTCGGGAGGAGCTTGAGGCAAAGTTTGCCAGTCCCACTATGTGAGCTGTGGGGAAAAGGACGTAGTGCTGTGATGGCTGCAACTAGTCCTGGAAATTCCTGAGAAATGTTGGAAATAAAAGCTGTATAGAGACAAACGGGACTCTGTGTGTTTGTCTGAAAGCTGAATCAAGTTGGTGACAGTTTTACATCGCTGTGCGAAGCTCTGCTGAACCGTGACGGAGAAGTGCGCAGTGGAAGCGTGCCGGGCAGCAATAAATCGCTAATTGAGGTCCGTAGATCAATTAGCGGGGGTCACGGCTACAAAACAGCACAGGTTATGGGTCCATAAATAACCGCTTGTAAACTGTCGCGGGAGCTGTGAATCTGCGGTGTCGAGCAGAGGCGGCAGAAGGTGCAGACGGAAGCAAACAAGCAAGCTGCGAGACGCAGAGAACTGCCTGTGTTGCTGAGAACTGCAAAGAGCTGCAGAGACGGCAGGAGGCAGGAGCCAGGAGCTGAGAGCAGCGGGAATCGTTTCTCCACGCCAGAAGAGCTGGAAATCTTGTGAGTACAGCTTGGGGCGCTTTTGGAGAACGGGAGATCGGAATCTGAGGCAAGCAGGCAAGCAAGCTGAAAGACGCTGCAGAGAGCTTGGGGCTGTACCTAACGTTTGAAGGCAAGCTGACAACGATGCTGATGCCAGCTTGAAGTTCTGCCTGGAAGTGTGAGAGGCAGGGGCGCTGATCTGCTAAACCGGGAGCCGAAGAGCGGCTGGTTGTTTACGTGAGTACGCTGGGCCCCGGGGGAAGATGGCAGGCTGCCAGGTCTTGGAGGACTGTGGGAGGCTCACTTTACGAAGTTGGGCAACCTGGCTGCTAATCTGAAGTCTACTGTTCTGGGTGCCGAGGAGCCAGAGGCCGTTCAGCGCTCCAGGGTGTTTGTGAGGCTGGAGGCGGAAAGCAAGGGCCGGGAGATGGCTGCTTCAGAACAGAAAGACAAGATGGCGCTGATCACCCACGTGAGAGCCGGTGCACAGCTGGGAAAGGCTGTGGGCCCCAGGGGGGGGGCAAAGGGACTCTTGGCGCTTGGAAATGTACTGCTGTGTTTGCTGTGAAGCTTCAGCAGGAGGCCAGAGCCCTGGGGAAGGACTACAAAAGCCTAGAGATGGCTGGAGCCCCTGTTCCTGGTGATTTAGCCTCAAGGAGTGCTAGTGAGCATGTCGGGGGGGCGGAAAGTTCCAAAGGCAAGTTTGAAAAGTTTTCCACTGAACCCGCTGGAGCGGAGAGCGGCTTCAGGGGGGCGAGGCTGGTGGGAGGCGCCGTTCCAGGAGAAGGAAGGCCAAGCCAGCTGGGAGCCCCAGGCAGTGTTTTTCCACTGGAGTTCGTCGTTGCTACGTGTTGCAAAGCTCCGGGACATCTGCGGCGAGATTGCCCCCACCGGAGCAGAGAGAAAAGGCAGGATGTTGCCAAGGTCAAACTGCTGAAATCTCATGGGAACCAGTCGGGTTACCATGGCAACCGGTCTGGAAAAACAACCAGGCGCGGGACTGAGGCTGGTGTACGTGCCAGGTGCCAGGAAGAGACAAGGACAGAGCAAAGTTTTGTTATTGGCTCTGCTGCTAATTGCGATTTGATTCCAGAGACATCTGCTGGGAAGCTGCGGAAATGCAGGGCTGCTTTAACAGGGATGACTGTTAGGTTCACAGACGGAACACAAAAGCCAGTCTGTGGTATGGCTAACGTGTTTTTCTCTACTTCACAGGAGAAGCGAGAGATCAACGTTGTGCCGGGACTGAAGTGTTGTCTTTTATCTGTATCAGCTCTAATGAAGCAGGGATACAATGCTTGTTCTGAGAATGACACCTGTTCCATTTTCAGAGGAGGGAGACAACGGGTCAACATGCAGAGGGAGAACAACGTCTATGTTCTGGAGTCACCTATGGAGGGTGGTGGGAATGCTGGAAAAGCACAGGTGCAGTGTGCTAAGGTTCCCAAAGATGTGCAAAAGTTGCACAGGTGCACAAGAGGGTACAAGCTCCGGAAATGTGGGAGGAGGTCCCAAGGGTGCAGGGCATGCAAAGGTGCAAAGGTGCTTGGTTTTCCCGGGTTTGGGAGGGTTACCAAAGAGCCCTTTGAGCTGGTTTACACAGATCTGTCAGGACCCAAGAGGTCTGAGAGTCTGGGTGGGGCCAGGTATGTGCTGTCGCTGACAGGTAACCACAGCCAGGTGGCTGGAGTTTCTCTCTCAAAACACAGGGGGAGGTGGCGCAACTGATCAAGGATTGGTTTGCGGAGGTGGAACGAAGGTTCTCCACCAGGGTGCAAGGGTTCAAGAGCGACCGAGGGTCACAGTTTACTGGGTCTGCTCTGGAGAAATCTTTCAAGGAAAAGGAAATACGTCACCAGGTGACGGGTGCAAAGTCTTCTCAAGGGAGAAGGGAGGCTGTGGCTGAACCCAGTGATGGGGATAAGGTCCAGAATCAGGGTTCAAATCCCGGTGATGGGGACCAGATCCAGGGTCAGGGTTCAGGGCAGGTTTGGGCATCTCCAAGGGTTGTGAAAGGAGTGTCCAGGTGTGAGGCTTCATCTCAGGTAATGGAGAAAACTCACGGAAGGGTTGTTAAGTCAGAGGGGGAAGAGTCTGACGGAGAAGACACAACTGCTGGACCTAATGGGTCAGTAGGGTATCAGGTCACAGGTGCGTGGAAAAGTGTCGCACAGTGTGATTCTGGGAGTGTTGAAGGGGTTCAACAGGTGCCTGGGAAAGATGCTGGGAAGGAGCACAAGGCAAAGGGGAAGGTGTTGAACTCAAAAAGGTCTCGTCAGAAGGTGCAGCAAGGGGGGGTGTTGGAGCTGGAACTTAACGGGTTAAGCTTTTCCCAGGATGCTACACCATTCTGACGTCACTTTTGGAAGCTCGGGAGGAGCTTGAGGCAAAGTTTGCCAGTCCCACTATGTGAGCTGTGGGGAAAAGGACGTAGTGCTGTGATGGCTGCAACTAGTCCTGGAAATTCCTGAGAAATGTTGGAAATAAAAGCTGTATAGAGACAAACGGGACTCTGTGTGTTTGTCTGAAAGCTGAATCAAGTTGGTGACAGTTTTACATCGCTGTGCGAAGCTCTGCTGAACCGTGACGGAGAAGTGCGCAGTGGAAGCGTGCCGGGCAGCAATAAATCGCTAATTGAGGTCCGTAGATCAATTAGCGGGGGTCACGGCTACAAAACAGCACAGGTAAGCCTGGCTGAGCCAGACGTAAGGATTTTTACATATATAGCACTTTGCTAAATTAGTAGCAAGTCTGTAGTAAGATTATGAGCGATACAACTGGGGTTTGACCCTCTATGTGATTGGAATGGCCTCTGAGCATGAGATTCTATTAGATTAAATAGAATCTCATTTACGTTTCTTTGGTAATTTCCTTCAAAGTTCTGACATATTTAACTTGATATTCCGTTCACATATCTGTTTCTAGAAAGTGGATTCATAGTTTTTGGTGACGCACATTTTTTGCTACAGATAGGAAATGATACTGCAGTGTGTTTCCTCCACAGTTATCATTTATGGGTTTAAATCGCCTGGAAAGAGAAAATAGCGATAGCGAAGAAGAGCAGGCTGATGGTGGATTTTTGCCTAGTGATGCTTGGACTAAACTAGGTCAAGAAGCAATGAAGTATTTTAGAAGAGCACCTGTTTTCCACTGCATGTAAGTTTTTTTGAGGTTTCCTTCAA